GGGCTTCATCCCTGAGCAGATGCTGCACTCTTGCTCTTGTATGGTTGATTATTCTGGGCCTGGGTAGCTCCCTTGTGTTATTCTTCAACTTTAGGCATATGTGGTGGGTGGCTGAAATTTCAGCCACAGTGGTTATTTTAGTTGCGGGTTTAAAAGGCAAATAATGACTATCATTAAAAAGGATGACTAGGCCCCAGTTGGTGAGGTGGGGGTGATGGTCAGCAGAAAAGTAAGGTCACTATTTATTATATTTGCATCTGATTATTTAGTCCTCGGTTTCTTATTAGGTGGCATCGAGTTGAGTATGACCCATAGTAATCTTATGAATAACATATTTGAACACTGTCCTATCCTGTACCATCCTCACACTGTGACATCCTACACTTGATCTTATCCAAAAGGCTGAGAAGCGATACTGTGTGACATCCTAGAGCCCATTGCAGCAGTCACTGTGTCCACCTGGTTGAGGGTCTATCTTTCCAAGCATAGTGTATCCTAGTAACATGCTGAAAGTATGTAAGATGAAAGCTTTATCATCATTGCCTCGAAGGAGCACTCTGGCTGCACTTTTCCCAAGACCCATTTATTTGCTTGTTCTTTTGGCCATCCATGGGATGTTGAGTACTTTCCTCCACCACCACAGCTCAAAGGCATCAATTTTTCTTCCAGCTTTCAAATGCATAGGAGTAATCAGAAAGACCATGGCCTAAATCAGATATACTTTAGTCTTCAAACTGCCATCATCGCTCCTCAATGATTTGGAGAAGTCCCTAACTGCAGATTTCCCCAGTGCAGTATGTCTTTTGATTTCCTGACTGCTGGTACCAAGATTCTTGATTGTGGATCCAAGTAAGATAAAATTGTTGACAACTTCAATCTTTTCTCCATCATGATGTTGCCTGTTGGTCCAGTGGTAAGAATTTTTGTTAGCTTCATGTTGAGATGCAAGCCATATTGGAGGTGGTATTCTTTGCTCTTCTGCAACAAGTGCTTCAAGTCCTTACTTTCAGCAAGCAAGGTTGAGTCATAGTATTTATGGATCTTCCTCTGACCTTGATGTCACATTGTTTTTCATAGATTCCAGTTTCTCGAATTTGCTTGGTGTACAAATTGAATAGGTGTAGAGAGAGGACCACCTTGACACACTCCTTAATTTTAAACTGTGTAGTGTTCCCTAGCTCTGTTGGCACAACATCATCTTGGTCTAAGTGTAGGTTTTGCATGAGCACAATTAATTTCTTAGAAGTTATTCTAAGTGGCCTCCAGCCACTACCCAGGGAACAGCAATGATGTACAGACTCTAACCTGATTTAGTAACTTGGCTTAGGTAAGCTTGGGTTTGATTTCAACCTTCAGTACCCTGACAAATTATAGAATGAAATTGTCATTTAAGAAGATTGACACGTCTAGAAGCAAGGGTCCAATCTGTTGTTCAGTGGGTTGTTATGAGTCAGTCAACTCAGTGCATTTCGCAACAATTATTCTATCAAGGATGAGACGTGGGTCTGAATTCTGGTTTTGCTAATTGCTTTGGGACTTTTTTTGCAACTTGCTTCATATTACTCTCAATTGTGCAACAAAACATATTGAATTGAGTCTTACTGACCTTTGAACACCCACTTAAGACCTAATATTCTAGGATTCCTGCTGTTGAGGTGTAATTTCCCCTCTAAAAGTACAAACTCATACACCACTAATGGCCTTTTGTCATAAGGTGTTGTCAATTTTGTGCCAACTCACTGCACCCTGTATTCCACAGAACAAAGCCTGCCCTCTCCTGTGCCATCCATTACATTCTGCTGTTTAAACTTGTTATTGCAGTCACTGTGTCAGTCTGTCTTACTGAAGTCTGACCCTTTATTTCCCCAAGCATAATGTCCAAATTAATATTTATCATAAAGTAATAATAGCCTGTCCTGATAGCATGCCTAAAGTATGTGAAGTACAGTCTCACATCTTTGCTTCTGAAAAACACACGCTCCACTTCCTCCAAGACGGAATGGTATCTTTTGAAAGCTGTGCTGCAATCCTGAAGGCAAGCAGTTTGGGGCCACTAGTTGCTCTGCAGGAGAAGAATGGGCAATCTCCTCTTGTGAAGTTATCTGCCTCTGAGAACCCACTGGACGGTCAGCTATGGGTCAGTTCCAACTTGGCAGTACACAACAACAGTATATTTAATATCTTTTCATCTGAAAGACCTCATTCCTATTTTTTGTGCTCTTGTTCATTCTGCTAAGCATCCTAGCTTTATATTCAACAGATTGCCATTAAAATGTTTCATCACACGAAGATGTGTCCTCTATTTCTGTTCATTCCTAAACGTCAAATTGTAGCCTCACTCCATTAATTCCCTTTCATTTATTTTGTACCTTTGTCACAATACTCACTTGTCATGTATGTGGCTAAATCCTTTCTCAATCTTTTATTCTGTTCCATAGAAATGTGTTTCATTTCTCCAATAGTACCACACAGTCTTAACACAGTAAATCTCAAAAATCTGGTGGATGACTTCTTTCCAATTCTCCAAAATTGCTTTAGCTATTCTGGTTCCTTTCCATATATGTTTTAGAATAATCCTTCCCCACCCCCCTTCTTTTTTTCTTATTTTGTGCCATCGAATAACCCTGATCCAACTGGCACAGGAGATTGCCCCTCCTTCTCCAGCAGAGCATCTGGTGGATTCAAACTGCATGCCTTCAGGATTGTAGTGCAGCTTCTTATCTCTAGGCCACCAGGACTCCCTTTAGAATAATCCTTTCTACGTACATGATTAATCTCTCTGGGATTTTGAGCTACATCAGTTTCAAGAGATTTGACATTTTTATGATGTTGAATCTTTAATTCCATAACAGAAATATGTTTCTACATTAGATCAATGATTTCTTTCATCAGTATTTTGTAGTTTGGACATAGTTCTAATATGTGTTTTCTTAGATACACATCTAAGTAATATTCTATAGCAATAAAATATTCTGTAAATAACATTGCTTTGCATTTTTAACTTCTGTGTTATCTAATAATGTATAGATGCTTTTCTTTTTCCCATGCTTTAGAAAGTCTACAATAGGTTAAACTCATAATATATTAGTGGTTAATTTCAGCTGACTAAAAGATCACTTTGAAAGATTTACGATTGTCACATTAATAGATAGCAAATCTCAACTGAAGTATTTAAAAGATACTTTTTTGCTACCCAGAAGAAAGGATAGTTTTCAAAAGGCAGATTTTATTTTTAAAAAAGTTAAAAGAGTCAGGATATAAAGCAAAAGCTTAACATCACCAGGAATTTGTTGACCAAGTGGACAAATGATTTTCACAGGCAGTGTTATCTAGGCCTCAGCAGCAAATTGTTGTTAGGTCCCATCAAGTCTCCAACTCAGAGAGGGCCCATGGACAGCGGGGACAATTCCTGCCTGATCCTTGAATGTCCTCACAATCTTACGCTTAAATACTTTGTTGGAGCAGCTGTATCAATCCATCTCACTGAGGGTCTTCTGTTTCTTTCAACATGATTTCCTCTTCCAGGGATGTAATGCTCAAAAGAAGGGAGAGGATGTTTCACTGTTCTTGCTTCTAAGGAGCATTCGGACTGCATTTCTTTCAGGATAGATGTGTTCTTATGTCCATGGTACAGTTGTGTTCCTTAGAAGTGTTACAACCCAGAAGTATCACTCCTTTGGTCTTGTATATTCATTTTTCAACTTCCACATGCTTATAATTGGAAATACCATGGCTTAGGTCTGGCACACCTTAGTCTTTAACATGTTTCCTCTTTAGCACTTTAGAGAGGTTCTTGACACAGGATTTGTCCAAGCAGTCTGTTTCTATCTTGACTGTTACTTTCATGGGCGTTGATTGTAGATAAAAACAAAATTAAGTCCCTATCAGTCTCCAATCTTTTCTCCATTTATCATGTTTATTTTTTTAGTTTTGAGAATGTTTGGTTTATGTTTTGCTATAATCAATACTGAAAAATAGAGTCTTTGAGCATCATCAAGAAATTCTTCATGTCTCTTTCATCTTCAGCAAGCAAGGTTGTGTCATTTATATATGGCAGGCTGTTGAGTCTTCTTCCAATCCTGATGCCACATTTTTATTCATATAATTCAGGATCTCCAATTAACTTGCTCAGCATAGTTTGAGTAGGTATGGGAAAAGGATACAGCCCTGACCACACCTCTAGTTTTAATCCATGCAGTTGTACTTGAACAACTGCTTCTTTGTGTACAGGTTCCACATGAGTGCAATTAAGTGCTTCTCAAGGTTCTCAACAAAATGTAATGGTTTTGCCTAGTCAATAAAACACAAGTCATCAAGCCAAGATCCTTCACTTCACAACCTCTTATGGATCCAGCTTGAATTTCTGTCAGTACTCTTGGGATTTCTGAGTGATCTTCAGCAAAATATTTCTTCTCTGTGATATTAAAGATACTGTCCCAACAAGCCTGAACTGACTTTATGAATAAATATAGGTTCTTTTATAATTCTGTGAGTAGATATAAACAGTATCTTTACAATATGAGAATTTTCTCCAACTGAAGTGCCCTGTATTTGAAGATGATGATTTCTGTCCCAGCACAGCCTTGCTTGGGACTACTTCTTAATCAACTGTGTATCATCCCTGTTGTCAACTTTAGTGCCCAACACACAGTAGGAATGCAGTGGAGAAGTTTGTGGGTGTTTTGTGTTTTTTTTTTCTCTCCAGTAGATGCAAGGTGGATATCGTTAATCCCTCTTTAAACTTTACCTTCTGAAAATCCACTGGCACACCCCCCACCCATAGATACAGATTTGTAATGACCCTCAACTGAGTTTCTGAGGTTGTACATTTTGATAGAGGTGGTTGTGATGTTCTACTGAATTCAAACTGACTTATAGCTGACCCTCCATTGGTTTTTCAGAGGCTGTAAATCATGGGAGGTTGTCCATCCTCCCACGGAGCATCTGATGATTTCAGTCCACTTGCTCTTTGAGTCAGCAGTGCAACTTTTTTTCACTAGGTTACCAGAGCTTCCTGTTAATGGAGAAGACAGTCTATTTGTTCACATGGAGTGATGAGTGGGCTCGAACTGTCAACCTTTCAATTGGTATTCCATCACTTAACCTGTCCTTGCCAGAGTTCCTTGACAGTCTTGGGATTCATATGTACTGCATTCAGCTCACTCTTACTAAAAATGTGATAAATTCTCAGCGAGAGTAAAAAATAGCGTAAGAATCAGAGACATTCACCTGGCAAAAGATGTTTTTAACTTCTCTGTTGCTCATAGATGGTATTTGCAGGAATGAAAATTCCAAGGAAGTTCCACACATCTCAAGTTCAGAGATTAGGAAGTAAGGCCGCTTAATTTTCCTCAACAATTCTACTGTGGCAGAAATTGAAGAAGAAACCAGTAAATTTATCCAGTGATGTGGATCTCACATGACAAGAATGACAGTTCTTCTCTTTTACTGGGTTCACACATGGGCAGCAAGATGAATAAGATGGCCTGTGATTTGAGAAAATGAACACTGGACTGGGGTTAGAGGTTTGCAACAAGGAATGACTGTTACTTGCTGTGCATGAGAGAGCTGGACAGTGCCTAGAGATGGCAGAAGAAGAATCCATACCTTTGAGTTGTGGTGCAGGAGGAGATAATTGAACATAAGAGAAGATAATTAACCTCCAAGAGAACAAACAGGTTGGTTTATGTCACCCCTGGAGGGTGAAACCGAGCTGTTCCTTGGAGGGAAGGATTTTGAAGCTCCGTCTCACATCTCACATTGGGTGTGTTGCCAGAAGGGACCAGTCCTTGGAGAAAGACATCATGCTTGGAAGGATAGAGCAACAGTGCAAGAGAGGAAAATCTTGGATGAGATGGATTGATTCAGTGACTGGGGTAATAAAGGTAGGTGTGTCAGAAACAGTAAAACTGGTTCAGGATAAGGTTCAGAGCTGTACATAGGGTTACTATGAGTCACAGGCAACTCAACTGCACATAACAACCACCAATAACACTGGCTATGTGAGGCCCTGGGAAGTTTATCTACTATTTTGGGTATCAGTTCTTAGAAGACTCCAAAATACATACCGTCAAAATTTCCCCCCAATTCTTTATCTTAATATTTTGTTCATCAGGATTTTCTTTCCATAATGAAGACAATAAATGATACTTCCATCACAGAATTGCTCTAAACAAAAATAAAATGCCTAAATAGAAGTGTTTTATTTGTAAGTTGGAAATATTAGTGATATCTACTTTATAAATTTGATAGAAGAATAAATTGAGATTGTGTGTATCAAGTGGTTAGTAGAGTTTGGAACATCAAATAAAACCACCAATAAACACTGGTGTCATCATCACCCTGAACAACAAGACGAAATCATAAAACAACCTTATTTTGCCAACCACTGTCACCATTAGTCATTTCTTCTTCCTGTTGATTGCCTTTGAGTCGAGCACAACTCAGAGTGACCCTATGAACTAAAGGCCTGAAGCCCCTCTACAACCTTCAACATTTATCAAAGTTCATAGTTTATGGAGGCATGTTGTAGTGGATGCTACTCCTGCTTCCAATTTGTCTTTTAATGGAGACCTTTTCTTGTCTTGCCCCTAATTAAAAGCCTGTGCAGACTCCATGACTGCTCTCTTAACTTTTAAGATAATGTTGTAAGACACTGTCTTGATTCCCCAGTGAGCATTGTCTGCTCTATAAAACAATTAATTGAAGTTGTGAAGTTGGTTTAGAGCTGAGATGCCCTCCTCTTCCTCTACTTGAGTCTGTTGCAGTCTAGAAATAGATGAACAGACTCTTCTTTGTCTTGTCCCCCACTACCCTCCACCTCCATAACTGGAGAGGGCTCTTCTTACTTCCCAGAACCTTCTGCATCTCAGGCATCCAACTCGCCCACCAAGCGGTCCTCTTGGAGAAACTCAAAAACCTTAGCAGGCTACCTCTCACACGGGTAGTTTACACCAGTTGTTAGGCACGGTCAAGTCAGAACCAATTCATAGCTGACCTTCCAGCAAATTTTCAGAGGGAGGAAATTGTCCATCTTTTTCTCCCATGGAGCAGCTGGTGGATTTGAACCTCAGACCTTTGGGATGGCAGTGCAACTCCTTACCACTATGCCATCAGAACTCCCTTAGTTTTGGGAAAAGGGAAATTCTTGACCTGAACAAAGTTATTTATCTAATTTTTGTTGTTGCGAAGTGCCACAGAGTCGTAGATGACCCATAGCAACCCTATGAACGTAAATCTTGAACACAAAACTCATTTTTTTTTCTTCTCCAAGTTGATAGAGTTTCTGGAGGTAAGCTTTTTTGGAAGTGGATGCCACTCCTACTTCCAAGCCTGTTTTATTCAGGAGATCCACAAAAAGCAGGCCCAAGGTCTGCAGGCCCTCAGGCCCAAAACCCTTTTTAAATATGAGGCCAAATCCAATCAACTCACACCCTTTGTGAACAACAGCCACACCCTAGTCTCCACACCAAACCAGAAAACACACCTTAGCTGAATTTCTCTTTGTTTCCACAGGCGACATCTCTGTGTGGCCTCTCTCTCAATAGGCCGAAGTGAGACAGGCTCTTGATAATTAACACAAAATGAACTTGCTCTGAAATGGAATCAATTTTTCTCCAGTATTTAACATTGTTTTTATACCTCTAATATAGGTGAAACAGACCTCTGATGGCTTAATTATAAGGAGTTGGGCTGTTAATTCAAAGGCAAGATGTTGGAATCCTCCAGCTGCTCTGTGGGATAAATATGGGCAATCTTTTCTTATGTAATCTACTGCTTCTGACATTTGTACATGTCCCCCAACCCTCCCAAACATAATGTCTCTCTCCAAGGACTGGTTCTTCCATGCAACATGCTCAAAGTATGTCATATTGAGTTTCAAAATCCTTGCTACCAAGGACCATCCTGGTTTCATTCATCATCTCTAGGAAGAACTGATTTTTCTCCTGGCAGTCCTTAGCATATTCAGTACTCCTCTCCAACACTACAGTTCAAAGACGTCAATTCTCCTTTCATCATCCCTTGTCGTTGTCCAACTTTCTGATGAATACCAATTACTTGTGAAGACCTTGGTCCGCATCAGGCACACCTTAGTCTCTAGACTCTCTAGATTGACATCGTTGCTCTTCAGTATTCTTGAGAGATCCCCGGTAACAGATTTTCCCAATGCAATTTTACTTTTGATTTCCTGGCTGCTGGTACCAAAAGTGTTGACTGTGGAGTCAAGAAAGCTTAAGCTGTTAACAATCTCTTCAGCATCTATCATGATGTTGCTAGTACCAAGAGTGTTGATTGTGGAGACAGGCAAACTGAAGCTGTTATCAATCTCAATCTCTTCACCATCCATCCTGATGATGCCAATTGGCCCAGTGGTGAGAATCTTTGTTTTCTTGATGTTGAGTTTCAATCTATATTGAAGACTGTCCTTGACCTTCAGCAACAAGTACTTCAGGTCCTCCTCAATTTAGGCAAACAAGGTTGTTTCATCTGAATAACGCAGGTTGTTGATGCTGATCCTGACACCACTTTCTTTCTCATAAAGCCCAGCCTCCTGACTGATCTGCATACAGATTGAAAAGGTTCGGAAATAGGACATATCCCTGGTGTACACCCTTCCTCAAATTGAACCATCCAGTGTTTCCTCACTCTGTTCTGATGATTGCCTCCTGATCCAAGTATAGGTTTTACAAAAGCACAATCAAGTGTTCTGAGATTCCCATTCTTTTCATATGTATTCTAAAATGTTCTAGTTATTGTAGGATCTCTAGTGACACTGTGAATTAAGCACTATTCTTCTAACCAAAACATCAAATATTCCAGCCACTCTGGTGGAGAAAGATTAGTCTTTCCTATAAAAATGTATAGCCTTTGAAACATTTTATGATAATTTCCTACCACTTTGCTGTCAATTTGTTTTACTCCCGTGGCTATTCTGTTGCTCTGATACTGCACATATTTTAATATTTCAAATATCAGCTGGATCTCCGATCAGCTGGATCTCCCAATGATGATATGAAAAAAGGAACACACACACACACATGGGGCTTGAGCATGGTAGAAATCCTGGCAATGGCAAGGTTCAGTTCTGTTGCTCATCCAGTTTCTGAAAGTTGTGGTCAACTGGATGACGCTCAAAACCAACAACAGGGCAGTTCAAATCTGTCCTCTGGTGTCCCTGAGTCAGAATTGACTCAATGAAACGCGGTTATGGTATGGTAGTTACATACCCTCTAATTGGAGTTTACTCCCAGCTGACCCTCCAGCGAGTTTTCAGAGGCTGTAAATTCCAGCAAAGGAGAGCGTGAGTCTTTCTCCAGGGAGTAGTGGACTTAAGGGGCCTTAAGTTTCACAGCCCAAGTTGTTACTATTAATTGCCATTGAATTGTCGCCATCTGCTGGTGGTTTTGCAAAGTAAACTTTCGTTGGTCATGGGCCTTTTTGGGTATTTGAGACTTTGAGCCTTTGTTGAGGATATTCTTTCAATGGATCTTTTTGAGTTTGTTTTCACTTAGCCTTTACTATAAAACAAGACATACTTTTCTACTAAGTGGTCTTCCTGATGATTTGTCAAAGGGAAGCAAGACAAAAATTTCTCTCCAACCTTGCTTATAAAGATCAATTATTTTAAACCTTTTTTCTTTTCTAATATTCAAACTCAACCCACTATTACAGGTCCTAGGAACACTGTAGCGAAGAACTGAACTGTACATCATTTGCAGAAACAAGCTACCTCCTATTTCTCCCCTGAAGGAGGTAGTGAGTTCAAACATCCCACCTTTTGGGTTTCGCACAAGCATTAAACAACTGGGTTACCATCATTTCTTTCTTTCTTTCTTTTAATAGTTATATTAAAAGAAGAAAAAAAATTTAACGAGGTGCATTCATTTTAATAAAAAATTTCTTTAACCCAATAGCATCCAGAATCTCATAATTGCAGCATGTAATCAATGTAGATTTGAATTGGACTTTTTAAAATATTTTTTTTCTTTTTCTTTCTGCAGAGTAGATTGCATTAACAGCTCTCCAAGTTAGAACAAGAACATTTCAAGTGCTGAGTAGCCACGTGTGTCTAGTGGCTACACTCGGCATAAACTACATCAGAGCGATTATCTCCATCAGATGAAATAGAGACAATTGTGAGGCATTTGTCATATTGATTAGCTGTTAGATAATGATAGCGATGAAGAAGTGGAAGC